ATGTTCCGTATTGATCGATCGATGATCCTCCGGACGTGGGGTCGCCCAATGTGTGGTTTCCATCGTCCAGCTCCGCCGATAGGACGCAGCTTGCGCCGGCCCTCATTGCACCGCCTGCGTCGTAGGGAAGGGCTCTGGCGGACGAGCACACGCTGGCGCTAACGCGCGGTCTGAGCATCATCGACTTGGTCTGTTTTCGATGCGTTGGATCGCTGGGTCGTCCTCCTCCGCTTCCGTGCCATCCTGCTGGCCCGTTGTCCACCTCCTGTTCCCCCCCCGCCCTCCCAGGACGAGGCCTCGGCGGCCGGTGCCAACGCCTCGCGCGCGGCGGCGGACGCCAGTGCGGCACGGCCCACCGACACCAGCGATCGAAGAACAAGAACCACAGGGGGCCACATGCGGACCCTGCCCCTACCCCCCACGATTTCTGGGGGGGAGGGGGGGGTTCACTTCGGAGCTCCCCGAGCGAAGTGAACCCCGCCCTCCCCCTCAGAAATCGTGGGGGGTAGGGGCAGGGTCCGCATGTGGCCCCCTGAACCAGTATGAGCATAATTTGTTTGAGACCCACGCGGGTTTCTCAGATCGGCGTTGGGCCCCCCTGGCGGCGCCTCAGGCGCAGCTCTGGGCGCGCCCCGGGCGCCGGGGAGGGGGTCCCGGCACCGATCCGGGACGTCCGCGCGGACCTCCGAGAAGTGATGTTTCTGCGGCTCGTTTCCTCGAGGCAAGCGCGCAGCAGCGGAGGCGGGTGCGGCAGCGGGCGCAGGAGAGGCGCAGCTGTCCAACACGACGGAGCCTGCCGCCACGACGCAGCCTGGCACCACGGCGCAGCTGTCCAACACGACGAGGCCTGCCACCACGGCGCAGCCTGGCACCACGGCGCAGCCCACAGACGTCGACGCCGACGTGGCAACGGACACCAAGAAGGCGCAGACATCCACCACGACGCAGCCCGCCGCCACGACGCAGCCCGCCGACACGACGCAGCCCAGCAACAAGACGCAGCCCGCAAACACGACGCAGTCCACCAACAAGACGCAGCCCGCAGAGACGACGCAGCCCACAGAAGCCGACGCCAGTGCTGCAGCGGGCGCAGACGAGGCGCAGATTTCCAACGTGACGCAGCCCGACAATACAACGCAGCTTACCGACAAGACGCAGCCTGCAGACATAACGCAGCCCAGCAACAAGACGCAGCCCGCAAACACAACGCAGCCCACCAACGAGGCGCAGTCTGCAAAAACGGCGCAGCCCACAGCAGACGCCAGCAAGAAGCAGCAGACCAACGCGACGCAGCTCACTGACGACGCCAACGCCGACACGAAAAGCAATACGACACAACCCTCCATTGTCACGACGAACTCGTCTGCGAAGGAGTTCTGCCTTTATTTGCACCTGCTTGCTTCGGGTCCCCTTTCAGGTTGGCTTTTGAGGACACCTTCAGGTATGATGCAAACATGGAGACAAGAAAAGGTGATAAGCCAAGGTCATTGAACAGACACACGCGCCTCAATGAGATCACGGAAGCCTTCGATGGCGATGCCTCGTCCAGATTGAACAGTCGAGGAAGTCCGCTTGACCGTCTTGATAGTATTCGGTGTAATCTCGGAGCCAAATTGAGCCCTCACTGGGTGATCTCAAGGCCGCAACGGAGCTTCCCCGGCAGGCCGCGAAGTGCTCTTGGTGGACGATGGAGAAGAAAGATTGGCTAGCTCGAACAGCATCGAAAGAGAAACTCGAGCGGGGCCCTGGACCCCGTCTGTCTGCTGCACGTTTCGAGCCCGACCGATCCCTGAGTGAGGGCCCCTGGCCCCGAAGCGAGGCTGAAGATCGCCCAGCTGTGAAAGACACGCGGCGCCAGGATCTCAGGGCATCGGCCCCCGATCTCGCCCAGTCATCACCACCACCACCCACCAAACCACCCCAACCCAACCCGAAGGCTCAGATTTACCTTCGATTTCCAGTGGGGGGTGGGGGTCGGGAAACATCGAGAAAAAACACAGATGGAACCCTTACCCCCCCCAACCCGAAATTCGGGTCTTCGGGTTGGGTTGGGCTGGTCTGGTAGGTAGTCAAGTCATCGGCAGTCGGGCCCCCCCGGTGGAGCGACGCTCCCGGCCCCCAGGAGGGGCGACCTTCAGAGCGTGAATTACCTACCCCGGTTTCGTTTCGCTTGGTATCTCTTGGAAGCGAGGGTGGTCAAAAGCGAGGTAGGTTCGTTTGCCCCCTAGACCTCGAGGCCCCCGCGGGGCCTCCCCGGGCCGCCGCGGGGCGCGCCTCGGAGGGCGCGGATGCGGCCCGGGGCGTCCCCTGGAAGGCGTCCCTTGGAGGTGTCGCCGCGGCGGCCGCGCCGCGCATCGAAGGAGAAACATCTGCGCAGGCATCTCCTGCTCCTCCTCCTCCTCCTCCTCCTCCTCCTCCTCCTCCTCCTCCCAACTTTGGGAGCTCCGCGCGGACTGCGTGGGATCTGCACCACAGGCGAGAGGCCAAATCCCGGGGCCGA